CGGTCCCTGCCCCGGCCACGGGCACCGCGTCCCTACGCCACGTCCTGGCAAGTGGAGAGCGATGTCCGTCGGCGGGGACTGGGGCAGCTGGGGCAGCGCGGCTCGGGGGGCGCCACACAGCCGGCATCGCTGGCCAGCAGCCACAGCTCCCGGCGGAAGCGCTGGCCCAGGAAGGCGTAGAGCAGGGGGTTGAGGCAGCAGCGCAGGTACGCCAGCCCGCCGGTGACCAGCAGCGCCAGGTCCTTGCGGCGGCTCTGGGCACAGCTCACCTCCCAGCTGGCCAGCAGCTCGGCTGCGTCCAGCAGCACCATCAGGCTGTGGGGCAGCTGCAGGGCCACGAACACCAGCACAAGGGCCAGCAGCACCCGCAGCGCCCGGTGGGGCTGGGTGCCACGGGCCACCAGCAGTGTCCGGGCCACAGCCGCGTAGCAGCTCGCCATCACCAGGAAGGGCACCGCGAAGCCCAGCACGACCTGTACCAGGTTGGTGGCCCCCCGGGCTGCCCGCGAGACTGCGCGGGGGAAGACCACGTGGCAGAGCCGGAGGTCCTGGTGCTGCTCCGCTTGGCTGTAGACAAACTGGGGCAGTGCCAGCAGCATGGCCAGCAGCCAGGCCAGCCCTGCCGTCAGCCAGCCGTGGCGGCGAGCCCGCGGGCGCAGGCGGCAGGCGGCCGGCACCTGCACAATGGCCACGTAGCGGTCCACGCTGATGCAGGTGAGGAAAAGGAAGCCGCTGTAGAAGTTGAGGGCATAGAGGCCCTGCAGCACCTTGCAGGCAGCCGTGCCCGGGGACCAGCCCTGCAGCGTGTCGGTGACAGCAAAGGGCAGCGTCAGGAGCAGCAGGAGGTCAGACAGGGCGAGGTGCAGGAGGCAGACGTCAGTGATGCTGTGTGCCCGGCGGTAGCGGGTGTGTGTGAGCAGCACCAGCCCGTTCCCCACCGTGCCCAGCAGTGAGAGCAGGAGGTAGACAGCAGGCTGGTAGGTGCGGGCGAAGCCCTGCACTGCCTGCTTCTCGCAGAGCTCAGGCAGTACGCCATCCTCCCACGAGTACCCATCCTCCCAGGCGTAGAAGTCAGTGGTGGCGGTCGGCTCCGTCGAGGCGGGGCTGGGGGTTGCCTGTGCAGAGGGAGGCTGAGCAAGGAATGCTTGGAGGCGGCAGCCCGGCTGCAGCGTGCAGCACACCGTGCCCAGGGCAGCCCTCCTCCACCCAGCCCTGCCGTGGGGAACGTGGGTGTGCCGCAGCCCCCGGCCCTGCGCTTGGGGTGGTTTTTGTCTCACACCCACCCCAAGGCAGCAGGAGGTTCACCGCACTCAGTCATTGCAAGAGCAACCGCACGCTTCCCGAGCAGCTGCCTGTGGCGCAGAGCTGTTGGGGAGACGTGACCCCGTCCGCGGCGTCCCCGGCACAGCACCACATCCCACAAACTAACTGTGCACCCGCTGCAGGTGAACTGCTCCTGCAATCCCCTGGGGCTCAGCACCCAGCCCACGGCCCCGGTCGCCCCACGCAGCTGGGCCTCGGGGCTCCATGCCGGTATCCCCAGGTGGGTGCTTTAGGCAGGTCCCCGTGTGCACCCTTGGGTGTGCGCAGGGAACTGCCCAAAGCACCCACCTACCCGTGCACCACCATGGGGACCCCAGTGTTGGCACAGCCCCACACTGCCCGATCCTGCTCCCAGCCAGGGAGGTCCCAGGGCATCCCACTGCCTTGCACAGGTTGCAGGCAGCTGTGCACAGTGCTCCCAGCTCTCGGCCTCTCAGCCCTGCTCCGGGGCAGAGGAACGGCGCTGCAGCCTGGCACTGGACAGCCCGACCCCATTGCCACAGAGGTCAGGATCCGGCATGGCTCTGACTCAGAGTAGCCTCATGACAGCAGTTTCTCTCCGGCTCCCGTCAGTGAGCCCAGGTGGCTGGGTCTGATCCCCCCACCTGCTCCGGGGCTGCAGGTGGGATCTGAACCCAGCGCTGGGGCAGGTTGATTCCCCAGCAGCTCCCCCAGCCCCTTTCCTGCTCCAGGCCCTGGGGACCTGGAGCACCTGGCGCTGCCTTGCGTTCCCTGAGGCTTTGCCTTTCAGCCCAAACCCACGTGGCTCACAAGAGAACTGTTTAAAAGCAACAAGAAAAGCCAGTGAAGAGGGTCCCCGCCCAGGCCCCAGTGAACCCCTCGCCCCATGGCCCCTCACCTGCTCCTGCATCGCGCAGTGAGACCTTTCCCCCTGGCCGATGGGTCTGGAGCCGTCTGCGTCTCAGCACTCTGCAACCTGTGGTTTGACCACGTGCTGCTCCTGATACCGAGAGTGGTGCAGAGCACAAGCCCAGCCCCAGGGAAGGAAGGCGAGGAGGCAGATGCGACCCCACGCCGGAGCCCGTCCTGTACCTTTTACTTTGTGGCTAGCATCTGCACGCCGGGAACAGAAATAGCAGCTCCGCTCAGCCCCTGTCACGCAGGGCTGGGGGACAAGCCTGGGAGCACCCGGCTGTGGGGAGCAAGGTCTGTCTGAGGGCACCCAGAGCATGCAGGAGACCCCAGCCCGCCTCGGGGCTGTCTGCAGCTCCTGCCCCACAGAAGGGGCTACCTCTGTGGGGCTGGAGGGGAGGCTGGAGGGAGCCGGGCCAAGGATGGGAATGTGGGCCACTGTGGGCTGGTGCTGAGCTGGGCACAGGCAGGATGCTGGTCTGGCGGGACCAGCAAGGGCACAACTGGGCCAAGG